CTTAATCATGTATGAAAACATTTACTATGTACAAGTCTGTACAAGTATCGGCATTGGTTCACAAATATCCTTTATTATCCTTGCCTTTTCCCTCCTTTTGTTCTCTTCCCACTCTGAGACTTCAGAGTATAAATTGTTTGGGATCATCATCATCATCATCATCCACTCTATGCACATAGATCTCAGGACAGTTAACAACATAAAACTACAACATAAAAGACACAATATGCACAATAAAAATAAAAGCAACAACCACCCAAGAATCCCCCTTCCACAACACATTTAAAAAGGCACGGGATGTCAATCAGCCAAAGACGTGGTTAAAAAGCAATGTTTTCTCCTGGCACTTAGAGGCGTTTAATGAAGGCACCAGCCAACCCTCCCCGGGGAGAGCATCCCGCAAGTGGGGAGCCACTGCAGATGCATGTTTTTGCATATGCTGTAAAACATCATGTATGGTGGGAACCAGGGGACTACCTTCCACAACAGGAGTATGCTCAACATCTGCTGTTCACCTCCAGTTTCCCTCTCATCATCTGGTGTGTAGTGAAAAGTCATGGCACCAGGTTCATGGAATTCCCTCTCCAGGATGGCTCACCAGGCACCATTCATACAATCCATACTCAAAAGTAAATCATATTGAGTCCAATGGAGCTAAATTGCCCAAGTTACATGGGCAGCCGGTGTTGTTTCTTCAGGGCCTGATAAATATGTTTTTATTAGTCCAGGCTTTGGGCCATGGAATGTGAACTGGCTGGTTAAATTTCATCTGCTCTGCTGAATTTTTATGCTGACTTTCTTCTACACTGGTTCTCATTTACCGTATTTTTCGCTCCATAGGGCGCACCAGACCATAGGGCGCACCTAGTTTTGGGAGGCGGAAAACAAGAAAAACTTATTCTGAACCCCAGAAGCCAGAACAGCAAGAGGGATCTGGCTTCTGGGATACCGTGTGGCTGTTCTGGCTTCTGGGATAACCGCGCCAAGCCTCTTCAGGGCAGCGGGATGAAGGCTCCCCCTGCCCGAAGAGGCTGCGCAGGGCTAAAGCAGAAGCCAGGACAGGCGCGTCGCTGAAGGGGCGCTGCGCCTTCTCTCTCTGCACAGAGAGGGAGAAGGCGCAGCGCCCTTCAGCGAAGCTGGAGAAGGAACAGAAGGAGACCCTTCTGTTCCTCCTCCGGCTTCGCTGGACAGGTGCGTCGCTGCGAAGCAGGAGAAGGAACAGAAGGAGACCTTCTGTTCCTCCTCGGGCTTCGCTGGACAGGCGCGCCGCTCAAGGGGTGCTGTGCCTTCTCTCTCTCTGCGCAGTGCCTCTCCTTCACAGGAGAGGTGCCGCGCAGGGAGGGAGAAGGCGCAGCGCCCTTCAGCGAAGCTGGAGAAGGAACAGAGAGAAGGCGCAGCGCCCTTCAGCAAAGCTGAAGAAGGAACAGAAGGAGACCCTTCTGTTCCTCCTCCAGCTTCCCTGGAAAGGCGCGTCGCTGCGAAGCGGGAGAAGGAACAGAAGGAGACCCTTCTGCTCCTCCTCCGGCTTCGCATGACAGGCACGTTGCTGAAGGGGCGCTGTGCCTTCTCTCTCTCCGCGCAGCGCCTCTCCTTCACAGGCGTAGCGCCCTTCAGCAAAGCTGGAGAAGGAACAGAAGGAGACCCTTCTGTTCCTCCTCGGGCTTCGCTGGACAGGCGCGCCGCCCAAGGGGTGCTGCGCCTTCTCTCCCTCTGCGCAGCGCCTCTCCTTCACAGGAGAGGTGCCGCGCAGAGAGGGAGAAGGCGCAGCGCCCTTCAGCGAAGCTGGAGAAGGAACAGAAGGAGTCCCTTCTGTTCCTCCTCCGGCTTCCAGGTCAGGCACCTCGCCGCGAAGCCGAGGAGCCTGCATTCGCTCCATAGGACGCACACACATTTCCCCTTCATTTTTGGAGGGGGAAAAGTGCGTCCTATAGAGCGAAAAATACGGTACTTTATTTTATTGCTATTCTATATTGTTTTTCCTATTTTTAATCATGTCCCAGATAATTTTACCAATGGACGGCTTCAACATCTTTTAAATAAATACACTGTTGGTGCTTTATAAATTGTAATAATTTTGGCCTAAAAGTATTTTGTTTGTTGGTTACTTAACCATCCAACAGTAGTCTGTGGTACATGCCCTCCAACATGTTGTTCCACACTTGTACAAAATGACAGCTTGAATCCAGCAGTGGCTAGTGAAAAACTCCTGCCCCCGGAAAGGTGGTTCTAACTTACCTGAAGATCACTGTGTGACAAAAGTGACTCCAAAACCAGAAAATAGTAGTAGTAGTAGTAATAATAATAATAATAATAATAATAATACCTTTATTGTCAATGTACAACCTGTGTACAATGAAATTAACCGAGCCTCCTCCCCAAACACTCAATCTCATTGCACTCTGTGTGCTTGTCGCACAACATACCAACCCCAAAAGTCAGTTGCACTATATTATTTTCCGTTCAGCAGCCTAACAGCCCATGGATAGAAACTGTTTTTTAGCCTGTTGGTATGATTATACTTCTATATCTCCTGCCCAAGGGTAGAAGATTAAAGAGGTGCTGGCCAGGATGTGAATCGTCCCTGAAAATTTTTCTCGCTCTCCTAAGGCAATGATCCCTTGCGATGTCATCTAGCAGGCTGAGGGGACAGCCCATGATATCATGTGCTGTGTTCACCACGCTCTGTAAAGACTTTCTGTCTGTGGCTGTCAAGCCAACGTACCACACTGTGGTACAATATGAGAGGACACTTTCTACTGTGGACCGGTAGAAGGAGGTCATCAATTGTTGTTTAACATTGTTCTTTCCATTTGCACAAACTAACATGCAAGAATTTGAACAACTCCCTTTCAAGACCTTTTCATGACCCATTGGACTCTCAAGATTATATGGTAGAGTCTCTTGGATCTTCTGGATTTACCATGTTCCTCATAATGCAATACAAACTCCAATATGTTCCAGAGCTGTTCTGCAAGAAGCCCTCCACTAAGACATCACAGAACTGCACCAATAAATTACTCTCCTTCCACTCCAAGTTTCTTGAGTCAAAGCAAAAAAGCAAAGGCAAAACAACTTTCAGGTAGTGCTGCAAATTCTAACGGCAGGCGGCCACCACACATTATCCTGAACGCTTGGTGATTCCAGATTCCTATTAACAAACAAAAACTTGGTTTTCCTACCTTTAAACTGTCACTTCTGTGCCAGAAGTGGTGTTATATGTTGTGTTATATGTTCAGACCATCCTGTCATGTTCAACAATCTGACCACTAAATCTGCACTAGCTGCAGTTTCTGAACTGTCTTCAAAAGCAGCCCAATATATCACACATTCCAGGGGTCCAGCCTAGAGGTTACTGGAACATAGACAACAGAAATCACAAGTTATATTAGCCCAGACTGCTGGTATTTTTTCCTTTATTGAGAACAAGCATATCCAAATACAGTTGTACCTTGGTTCTCAAACGGAATCCGTTCCAGAAGTCTGTTCGACTTCTGAAAACGTTCAAAAACCAAGGTGCGGTTTCCGATTGGCTGCAGGAGCTTCCTGCACTCAAGGGGAAGCCACAGAAGCCGCTTCGGACATTCAGCTTCCAAAGAAAGTTCGCAAACCGGAAAACTTACTTCCAGGTTTGCGGCATTCAGGAGCCAAAACGTTCAAGTCACAAGGCATTTGAGAACCAACGTATGACTATATATGATACAATTCTGGCAGAATCCAACCTGGATCCAGAGAGTTCTCCCGTCATAAAGAAGAGAATGTTTAGAGCAGAGTTGTAATTGGCAGGTGTGTGAATTTCGAGTGACAGTTTATTGGCAGGCATTTTCAAAAAGGGATGCTATTTGAACAAAGATTTCCCAAGGGCCATGAACAACTTTCTTTGGCATGTGTTAGTTTCAAATTGGTTGCACAAAAACAAAAACAGAAAGAGATTCTCCTTTCCAAATTAAATCCAACATTGCAAAATTAAATAAGCATTAACAACATTACTCATCATTTTAACATTCTAAATATTACTGTAGAAATATACACTTTTTGGGTTTGTATCAACAAATGCAGTCCTCACATTTTCTTAAAACAAGTTAAAGGTTGTTCACACTATGAATACCATAAATTACTGCTTTTTGTCTCATCTGTTAAACTACAGAACCTATTTGCAGAACTGAACATACAAAGAGTTCCCTGATACCTTCCCTAATCAGCTAGCTCAAAATACCACTGAAATAGTTTTGACCTGGATGAATGAACATATCTCACTAATCTGCGCTACTTTGCCATTATAGAATTCAAACAGCTCCAGTACTTTTTCTGCTTCCCAACCATACACATTATGGGAAGATAATTACAAATTATCTGGTGTAAAAACATGTTTTACTTACCAGCTCGGAAGTCTCCCCCCAAAGTGGTTGAACAAGAGTACTAAGCTTACAGTTAAACACCCCACACACACAACTTAAAAGAAATGCACATTGTATCAATGTAAAAACATGAATCCTACATAGATCAATAAACTTCTTGACACTTAAGCCATTCCCTTTTGTTTTCAGGTACTCCAGTTGCTGGTATTTTGAAATAATAAGAAGTATACTTTACTGAATGCTTTATACTTAATTGTAATGTATCCTAGAACAGTGCCGTGAAGGCAAAAAATATTTTAACAAGTAATATAAATCAGTAATTAAGCTACTATTACTATTACTTAGTAAATGGGGAAGTTTTTTCATTTTCTGTAATCAACACAACAGTTCTAAAACTTTTACTGGTGGATCTGCTTATTACTCCGTTCTAACAAATAGCAATTTGGAGGCCCATGGCAGGGCAAGCTTGCTCCAACTAAGCAGGTCCTACTCCAGGCACTGCCAGGACTGAGACTCCTTCGCCACCTGATGTACAGCAGCTTGAGCAATCGAGACCCACGGGATATGAATTTTAAAAACACATATACAAAGTCAAAATTTGTGATGTGATGTTATTGTTGTGGTCCATCCTATGCAAAAGATGACGCTGTAACTCCGCGGTAAGAGAATCTGCTTTGCATGCAGAAGGTCCTGGGTTCAATGTCCAGCATCTCCAGGCAGGGCTGGGAGAGACACCCTGAAATTCTGCAGAGCCGCTGCCAGTCAATGGAGATAATACTGAGTTAACTGGACCAAGGGAAGGCGGCTTCCATGTGGTGGGGGAGGGGAGAACCAGCCTCTCTCATGTCCTATCAGTTGCCCCATGTGCCCAGGGCAGGGCAAGTGTTGCGCTGCCTGGAGGACTGGGCAGCTGGGGTGGGGGCACATGGCAGAGGGTGCCTGGAGGGTGAACAGAGCCTACCTCCAGCAGGGTCCTCACCTGCTGCCTCCATCCACCTACCCACTAGACAAACCCACCTGCTGCTGCGCCTCAGCTGCCAGGGATCTGTGCCTGTTGTGGGGGCCAAGGCCCCCCTGATGCCTCTGTGTCTATGAGGGATCACTCCATACATGAGTGATGTGCCTGCCTCAATCTGGTTGGAGCCCAAGGGAATTTTATCTTATCTAAAGTGGCAAGGTTCTTTACTTAGAGAAGGATAAAAAAAATGTAGCATTGCTTTTGCCATTTTTTTCTTATCACCCAGATAAAAACTAGCAACTCAACAGTAAAAACAGAAGTGTTGAAACAAGTGAAAACTGCTAAAAAGAATGAATTACTAGTTAACATATAAAGTGGTGAATTGAATACTCTGCATGTAATCAACTGTAAAGTCTTCTCTGTACAATTTTACTGGATATTCAAACATGTACCAAAATATTTAAAAGCACTAAGGAAAAAATATGAATTGTCTCAGCCATTTTTTTCAATGCAAAGGAGCCAAACAGCACAAAATCTCCTCTAGGAAGCCCTATAGTACGCCTAGACATTACAAAAAGAAATGGGGCGGAGGGGGAGAGGAGGAAGACAGGCAATACCTGATGGCTTTGGTGGCTCAAGGAGACTTTCATTTGGAGAGACTGTTCCCAATAAACATTTCCAGAAGTGTCAAGTTCTTAAAGAAATGGGAGTGCCTGATCACCTCATCTGTCTCCTGAGAAATCTCTATGTGGGACAAGAAGCTACAGTTAGAACTGGATATGGAACAACTGATTGGTTCAAAATTGGGAAAGGAGTACGACAAGGCTGTATATTGTCTCCCTGCTTATTTAACTTATATGCAGAATTCATCATGCGAAAGGCTGGACTGGATGAATCCCAAGCTGGTATTAAGATTGCCTGAAGAAATATCAACAACCTCAGATATGCAGATGACACAACCTTGATGGCAAAAAGTGAGGAGGAATTAAAGAACCTTTTAATGAGGGTGAAAGGAGAACGCAAAATATGGTCTGAAGCTCAACATCAAAAAAACGAAGATCATGGCCACTGGGCCCATCACCTCCTGGCAAATAGAAGGGGAAGAAATGGAGGCAGTGAGAGATTTTACTTTCTTGGGCTCCATGATCACTGCAGATGGTGACAGGAGCCACGAAATTAAAAGACACCTGCTTCTTGGGAGAAAAGCAATGACAAACCTAGACAGCATCTTAAAAAGCAGAGACATCACCTTGCTAACAAAGGTCCGTATAGTAAAAGCCATGGTTTTCCCAGTAGTGATGTATGGAAGTGAGAGCTGGACCATAAAGAAGGCTGATTGCCGAAGAATTGATGCTTTTGAATTATGGTGCTGGAGGAGACTCTTGAGAGTCCCATGGACTGCAAGAAGATCAAACCTAGCCATTCTTAGGGAAATCAGCCCTGAGTGCTCACTGGAAGGTCAGATTGTGAAGTTGAGGCTTTAATACTTTGGCCACCTCACGAGAAGACACCCTGGAAAAGACCCTGATGTTGGGGAAGATTGAGGGCACAAGGAGAAGGGGACGACAAAGGACGAGATGGTTGGACAGTGTTCTTGAAGCTACAAGCATGAGTTTGACCAAACTGTGGGAGGCAGTGGAAGACAGGAGTGCCTGGTGTGCTCTGGTCCATGGGACACAACTAAACAACAACAAAACATAACAAATCAAACCTGCTATGCATTCATATGCCAACTGAAGTACAACTACAACTTCAGCGCTCCTAGTGGACAACAAAGGAGGTTTAAAGATGCTCTCAAGGCAAATCTAAAAATAGTAGTATCAGCACTGTTAACTGGGAAACACTGGCCTGCGAGCGCTCCAATTAGAGAACAGCCTTTACCAAAGGGGCTGTGGACTTTGAAGAAGCACGAACTCAGGGCGAAAAGGAGAAACGGGCTAAGAGGAAGGCACACATGGCAAACCCTCACCGTGATCAACTCCCATTCGGAAACCTATGTCCAGGGGAGGAGGAAGGGGAGAGCAGTGAGTGCGGGCTGCCCCAGCTGTCACCACTGAGGGGGGTGACAAAATGGCAGGCAGCACTCACCACAGTGCCTGCAGTGCGCCTGGGAGAGACGCAGTGGCTTGGGGGTATGCAGCCTCCACGCTGTCCAAATGGTCCGTCCGCTGCCTTCCCCCAGCTGTAGGGCGCCTGAGTGGGAGGAGGCAGGCAGACCTCGGAGGCCCCGTGGTGTGCCCCACCCCTATGGGAGGTTCACACTGCCCCAGGCGCCTGAGTGGCTTCCTCCGCCGCTGCTTATGTCCTCACTGTGGAAGGACATGTGGATCCAGAATTGGCCTCCACAGTCACTTACAGAATCACTGTTAAAGACTGTGTTCATGGAAGACTCTTGGTTTAATCTATCATATTTGTACTTTTTGAAATAATATGAGACTCGAAACACGGCCATTCTTCAAAATTCACATTGTTCTCCAAATTTTGCACTGTAGTTTTCCAACCAACCAGTAAAGATATTTGTGAAAATAGCATGCAAAATTGCATTTTATTAGAAATAGCTTACAAAAATGTGCACATTTGTCAAAACTGCCTACAAAAGTGTTTATTAGAACTTTGTACTAAAATATTGAATGAGGATTTTAAAAAACACAAAATTCACAAATTGCTGTAGAAGTGTGGAACACTAAATTTAAGGTTAGAAAAATGAGAAACTGAAAGAGCAGAAATGGACAGATCCTCGCCCCCTACTGATAACACAGACAGCCTGATGCTAGTAAGCCAATTAACACATATAATCTGATTAAAATCCTTTGCCTTGGTTCAGTCCAAAAGCGATGGCATTGAACCTCAATGCCTAATTCAGCAATTTCACACTGCAATCTCCCTTTGAACTTCCTTTGCTCCACCCTGGCATCCTATTCTGCCAGTGGGATGTTGCATATTTGAATGCTCTCCTAAATAAAACCTTCCCTATACATAAAAAAGAACACCAAAGACAAAACTGGGCTGGCTTTCCATGTGCAAAGGATTTTGACCATATGGTTCCAGGAAGGATATACCACATATTTTTTTCTTAATGCTTCAATCTGCTCTATGCCATTGCTGACCAGTTCCTAAGTTTGTAAACAGTAGCAGGGGAAACCCCTTAACTTGAAGCAGAATGAACACAGAAAATAATGTCCTTTCCTTTTACCAGTTTCCACTCCAGTGGCTTGGATGTCATCGCTTAAAAGCACAATCTCAGCTGCCATTCGGAAGGCCTATTCATTACTCTAGGAATGCTAATGCACTCAGTGCTTATGGGGCATTTCTCAGAGGGTGCCTAAAGAAAGCAATTAGTGAAAACGTAAACAGAAATAAACAGAAGAAGAAACAGAATATTTAAGTCAGAATGATGTCAGTTGTGAGGCATTTATTTCTTTTGAAAGTGCACCAGCTGCTAACTATTTTCTTAGGCAAATTACAGTGCCTTTAATCTGTTTTGTGGAACGCAAGAAATTAAAAATAGCCATGAAGTGGCTTGAGGCTGTGTTTGTACCCTTCTGCTTGAAGCTGTGTTTGTAACCTTCCAAACACCTTTCTACCACCTTTGTAACTTCTTCACAAATTTAAAAAGTCATCTCCCTCCTTCATGTTTTTTTTTTTTCTTGGGACCTATCACCTGAAGAAAAAGGAACCTGGGTAGGCAAACATGGACATGCACAGAACAGAACAGTAGTTGCAAGCACCATTTATTGCAATACCTACAAGATACAAATTTAATATGCTAAATCCCACTCTCAGACTGTTCTGGTGAGTCCAATCCTAAAAACCCATCCCGGGTCAGTAACTCAAGCATCCACCTGATCATGTCAGATCAAGACCCCGTCAACGCCAGCTGTGAAAGTGAATATATTGAAACTACAAATGTTAAACTACATGATGCAGGATGGGAAAGTTAATTGGAAAAAGACAGTGGAAATAATATGTCAGGGAACTGCCATCGGCTCAGGGGCGAGAGGGGGAAAGCCGGATGGATTACAGAGAGCCCCCAAAGATCGTGGGAAGCAGCACCTCCTCAGCGGAGAAGAGTAGCCACGCCTCTAGTGGAGAGGAGCTTCAGGGCTCGGAGGAGGCGAGGCGGTGCCAGGACACCTTGCCTGAGCAAAGCGGGGAGGAGAGAGGTCCTCCGTTACCCACGCCCTCCCTGCGCAGTAGGCTTCCGCGCAGAGCGGGGAGGCGCAGACTGGGCGCCAAGAAACTACTCTGCTGGGGAAGGTTTAAGGACCGCCCACTCAAGACACAGAATAGAGGCGCTCTGCATTCCAAAGGTTTTTACCACCGATAAGAAAGCTTTAAAACAGACTACTGAAGCATACTGCCTGAATGCTCTCGAGCAACCAACCTATACCTCTTACATAATATCACAAATGCTTTGGAATAAAAGATTTCTCAAAAATGTGATTAGTTTAATCATAGCCCCAAAATATAAGCTACAAAAATAAGAAAGGACCATTTATGCTATCCAGTAAAGATCTCAATTTCTTTCTTGTAGCAGTTTTGCCTGTATATTCTGCTATAATATTTCCCCCTTTTTAATCACACTCTCCACTATGCTTTCTAATTTCTGCTTCAGAAGAAAGAGTGCATTTTCTATATGGGGGAAAATAAATATTCTCTTGCTCTCATTCAGCCATACCTGCAACGTCTCATCATAAAACTCTACCAGATACCTGTTTCTTTGCTGATGAAAAATAATCATAACTTACCACTGCTAT